TTGTAGTAGCCTCCTTTAGTGTTGAACCCCGACTAGTGCGCCAGTCCTCCCATAAAGTAATGCTTTCTCGAAAACTAATTACTACCCCATAGTCGGATCGGGGTGTCAAAAAAATGTTGCCAATTTTTCAGGTGTAGGAGAGCTTTAGTCCCTGTCAGGCCCGCCAATGTTGCTTTGTCGAGTTTTCATTATAGAGGCCACCGTCAGTTCCACAGACAATTGCCGCAACAAATGCTCAGAGGGTTGTTTGCTTGTACGGGTGCCAGACGTGAACCCATGTTTTTGGAACATGCATGTCTAAATGATGGAACGTGGCTTTGCACATGTACTTCATACTTCGTCTTATGATGAGCGCGGCTCCTTCAACAACAAAACAAACTCCTGCTCTTCACGAAGGAGGCTCCACTGATTCCTACGCACATATCCGCTCACTAGGTCACTAGGGTGAGCCACGTGGAGTTCAGTTGTCCTTACCGGTGCCCGCCCAACACCCTCTTCAGGATGAAGAAGGTCCCTCCGAAGAGCATTGCAAGTCCGGTGAGTACTGCCAAAGCTCCAATGACCTCCAAGGGAGTTTCGGAAAAGGGGTGCACTCAGGTCCCTTTGTGGCTTTAAGGATTTGGTAAGCATATATAAAGATGCTGGTTGGTTTGCGACACTTGTGGATTTGGAGCGTAGGGGCCATGAGATGTTGCACCAGGCCCAAGTGGTGAGGGTTTAGGTTTGGTGAGGGCATAGGGTCCAGGAACTATGGATCAGGACAGGATGGGGGTCGTTTGGCAACACAGGACCCCATGTTTAGTGCAACAACTTGCCCAAAAAAGAAGATGAATCAAGTACTGACTATACCAAACTAGTACAAGGGTGCCTTGTCAGTTGACCAAAATATTCACCATAAACCCTAAACCCTGCACCCTAAAACCTAAACCCTACACCCTAAACCTTAAGCCTATTGCGAAATGAGCCCGGCCAAGCGAAGATGCCAAAGGTGTTCGGCATGGCAAAATAGAGGGAGCTTCTAGCTTTAAAGAAACTCAAGGTTGCAGAAACCCAAGGTTGGGGGACCCTACACCCTGAGGGTTATGGACGGAGGGAATCTTGGTAGCCTATATAGTTATATGGTAATTTCCCCAAAATAAGGGGACCCAATATAGACCCCAATATACTGTAGTCCTTATTATGGGTGGTTGTCAACATTATGGTCCCTTTTTGGGTCCCTATTATAGTACGGCACCTAATATTTAGGGGACCCAAAAAGGGACCATAATTTTGACAACCACCCTTATGGGGTAGAAACTAACCCGGAGGCTCCCGACGTCCTTTTGCGATGGCTTGAGGTTGACTCCAAAAGACTAAGCTCACAATAATCTAAACTCCTTAGAGTGGTTTAGGGTTTAGGGTTTAGGTTACAAAGGGGATTATATAACGACTACTACAGGGGATATTAAAGAGTAGATCCATTCCACCCTTCCTGCCAAGACTTCCCAGCTCTCCACATTGCAATCGTCCCTATCACTTCCTTCCCCCTGCGAGTTGCCCCAACCCGCCAGCATTGACTATCATCTGCAGCAGCCAAACTAGGCTTTAGTGTTTAAGGTTTAAGGAACATAATCTAATCAGGAGGTTGGGGTAGCTTGGTATATACCAGGAGGACGGGAATAATTCCCTCCCCCTCATACAACAGATCATGGTATTGTTAATGTTGACCTTACTACTAGGCGAGGGAAGGTGGAGGGAAGAGGTCGTAAGCATGCCTGCCTTCGCGAGCAAGCCACGGCCAGCAACTATGCAAATGTAGCCAGGTACGACCTGTGCGTTTCCAGCCCTGCTACTCCCCCTATAGCCCCATTGCAAGGTCCCCCCTTAATTAGGGACATTTACAGATGATTGTGGTTGATTACATTGAAGCTAATAAAGGTAGGGCGGGGTAGCGTGGGGGGAGGGTCCCATGAAGTACTTTCCAGACCGCAGACATTCGAATGGTGAAGAGGCACATGCAAAAGAAAAGGGGAAACCGAGAACCTTGGTTTTAAACAGAGGGTTACAAACTTATTCAAGCTTCTAGATTATGCCTCTTATGCGAAAGGAAAAGCTTCATCAGAATGAACCGCCAAACCTTGTCCATGGGTAGTCTGAGAGTGAGGTTTACAGTAGCTGAAGACAACTCTAGCATCACCCAATATAAGAAGATTCCTGTAATATTGTCATAATCCCTAAGAAAGCCTCTAAGGAATCCTGCAATAGCCTGGCGTGTAAGAAGCTGCTGGAGACATTCACCCTTCCTAATCTCATCCAGGGGTCCTCGCTTTGTGGGTTTCTTCAACAGGGTAGCTGAGCTACAACCTACGTTAAGGGACCTATGACCCGACGGACAAGTACCTACTGACCTGCAAGTTCCACACCAAATACCGCTTCAAAAATGAAGGGTCCCCTATGTTCCCCCAAACAGGGAGCTCTGTTAAAGAGGGAATGATTCAGATTTCATTCTTCCAGGCATTCAACTGCCACAAAGCGCGTTGCACTTGTTACTGTGAATGCCGGTACAGGCATGCAATTGCTGAGATATGCAACCAGACGAGCAATTAAAACTAAGAGCGCTGCAAGACAGCTGCTGTAGCGAATAAGCACCGCGGGAGGGAAAACCCGTGCGAACCCGAGAGGCACTTCCTTCCAAGCTTCCTCTACTGGAAGGTCAGGGGACTAAGAAGATAGTATACTTAACAAGTCCACGTGACCCTCCAGGACCCTCCAAGTATAAAATCCAAGATTTCGAGCTGGAAGTCTGGATCACTTCATACTTGAAGGCTCGTGGGACTCAGTAACTACTTAACCCTAAATATGACCTCCCTGACAGGCCTTGAGGCTGTTTCCCCATCTAAAAATATGGCTTGCGAGTAATAAATCCCATGAACCTTCAAGCGGTCATGCTGGAGCTGACTCCCAAGACCTCAAAGCGCAGACCCGAAGCACGAAGACCCTACTTGGAGGGTCAGGAGGACTTAGTAATAACGGAAGAGAAAACGGAAACTACTATACTGTTTAGGGTTTGGGGTAGGGGGGCTTTGTAACTAGGTTAGTAGCAGGGATGGCTGGGGTTATTCTGCGGCTTATAGTGGCTGTAAGTAAAATTACCAAGTTCCCCTGACCCCCCTTATATTCGTAAGGCTTACAGATTGCGCTAGACCCCCTTGAAAGGGACTGCAAACACCTAAAAGTAGCTCTAAACACCCCAAAGCTTAAGACCTGGGCCCCCCGCATAGCAGAAGAGGCTGAGACCAAGTGAACCACAGAGGCCAAAGACGTCCGGAAGGTCCGGCACTGCCAGGTCTAAGAGCACCTGAACTAAGAGGGCGGTGTATATAGGGTTTAGGGGCATAGGCAGAGGTTCTTTTAAAGGGGAATTTAGGGTTTATCTGGGGTTATATGGGAGGTATATTGTACCAATAACGGGTTTAGGGATTGGTAGGTATATTATAGCGAAACAGGCATAGGTTCCTTCGAATGGGATATGGGAGTTTCTAGGGTCATTCTACGAATGGAAAAGAGAATGGAATTGACATGGAAGCCTGCTACTATTTAGGGTTTAGGGTTTCGGGATAGTCTTCGGGATACAATAAGGTTTGGGGGAGGAATGGAAAAGGAAAAATTGAAGCTACTATTTGGGGTTTAGGGTTTGGGGTTATTGGTCGGAGGTTTAGGGCGTAGGGTTTACGGGGAGTTAAGACTTTGGCGGTAAGGCTCCGGATTTGCTTTAGGGATGTTTCGCGGTTCTTCGAATAACTGATCCTCTTGTCCTTAGTTTTTGGACGTCTGGTTGGACGACCGTAGTTTGGGGAGAGTCCCCCCTAAACCCTATAAGCCCTGCGTAAACCACGTGGCTCAGCACTTTAGATATTTGATGCTTCGAGCTGCAGGGTTTAAAGCGCCCGTCTCAACCACACTGGTTTACAAGGTTTGGGGCGCCAAAGCATTTTTTATGAAAAAAAGGTCGACCTACAACACAGTGAAACACCGCTGCATGTTGTTCCTCAGGGCCTGGATTCACTATCTGGGGCTTTTGGAAGGTGGCTACCCTAGAGGAAGATCTAACGAACATACAAGGATTTAAGGGATAATGCAGGCATCCATAATCTGCTCGAGAATGCTTCACGCAATTCCATGTTCCTGCCACAAACCCCAATCTGTACCCATGTTGGAATTCCCTATAGGGGTACCCCATATTTACCTCAAATTTACCCCAAGCTCCCTGTTATAGTGACCGCCAAAAAAAAGGGACCCCAAATTTAGGAAGGCCCCATTTCCGTATCCCAGAAAGGGATTCTGAAGAGACGCCACAACAAGGCCCAGGCACGACCACCACCATGCCTCCAAAGGGATTAGGGGTTTAGGCTTTTTGGGGTTTAGGTTTGGGGTTTAGGGGTTTGGGGTTTATGGTTTAGGGTTTTGGGTACAGGACATACAAACAAGTGAGGCCAACCCATATTGTGCTACCGCTACCTAGATTCTCCTTACAACATTGTCAAAACAGTCTCCCCCAAACCTCTCTGCAGTGTCCCTAGAATACCCCCAAGATCCAGGGACAAAAACTAATCAAAACCCTATATCCTCGCTCCCCCTTAGCCTGAATCGTAACCCTAAACCCTTTGCCCTTCCAAATTCCTAAGCCGTCAACCCTTGAAGTCCTAAATCCCCTGAGCTCCCTGAACCCTCTAAGGGTTCAGGGTTTATAGGGTTCAGGGTTATGGTCAGGGTAAACCCCCCATTATAAGCCTACTCACCCTAATCCTGCAACCGAAACCTGCTGCCTGCTAGACTGACGAAATGCCGCGCGTAACGCCAGCGGTCCAGACCCAGGGCTCTGATCTTCAGCACCATGCCTGGGAGCGGCACCCCTTGTATGGGCTATAGCTCAATCTCCTAGCATCCCCCCTTATAACCCCTATAATACTCCCCTGTACAATCCCCTCTATAACCCCTGTTTAAGGAGTTTAGACGAAAACTCATGTGCAGACACAGGTACTAACCAACGGGAAGTTGATCCTTGGGCTTTGTTGGCTTATGGCACCGTGGTTAGGGTGTTTGGTGTTTAGGGCCCTTCTCAATGCTTTTGCCTTCTGCAGCATAACCCTAAACACTAAACCGTGTGTATAGGATCTTTATGAAACCTTCAACAGGTTATCCCAGCCTGCTAGGGGATCTTTGGGGTAGAGCCCTGAGCTGCTAATTGGGTTTTACAACGCTCCAAAAGGGCTCACATATGGACATGAGGGGAATGGAAAAGCAAATGGAAACTGCGTGCTTCTAAGGTCAGGATTTACAGTTTCTAGAATAACTTCCGCCAACTCCAGTTGCAATGGCAAGCATCACAGGGTATTCCAGTACGATGACGACCACTAAGGCCGCGCAAAGCAGCGTGACAGGGTAATTGTCCATGGGAAAGTTGTAAAGCACATTGCCAAAGCCGCTGCCCTTGTGCATCTTCCCAGCCATCTGACCAAACGCCAGAACGCAGCAGCCTGACACTATTAAGTAAACCACGAGCACTAGGCCCGCTGAGAGGATCACTGTCTTCTTCATGCGAGGCAGCGCCTGCTCCACCCCCACGCCCTGCTTCAGCGCAGCAAAAACCTCCCAGAAGCTCAACATGCCAGTGAACGCGAAACAGACGCTGGGCGCTGTGGACAGGAGAACTTGTAAATCACCACTCACCGGAGGGGTGGCCTGGTCGCTATGCACTTCCTCTCCCCGGGCAAGCATGATGCAACTACTGACAGCGACTGCGGCGCAGAGCAGCAGTACGACGCCGGCAACGCTCTTCCCGACGTAGTGCAAGGCTGCCAGGTCTTCGGTGAAGCAGAACGGGCTGGCCACACCAAGGAAAATGAAGAGCAGGGTGACTCGTTGCCAGACGCCAAAGTGGTACTCGCCGTAGTCATCTGTGACGAAGTACGTCATAAGGTCGAAGAGCATCCCCGAAATTGTCTGCATGTGGGCGGCATTGCCAATCAGCAGGGACAGCAAGAGGCTCACGCGGCTCAAGCTACAGGCCACTGGAGCAAGGCCTGTAAGATCTTCCCAGGACCTGGGCTGCGAGGCTGTCACAGAAAGCAGGTTGTCTATTTCGGTCTGCCCACATGGTATAGATGCGGATCCGTCACCTGATGTTGCGCTCTTCGACTACCCCCAGCAGCAGCAACATAAGCGCCATCGAGAGGACCCCGAAGTAGCAGCAGAGGCCCCTGTCATGGGTTACAGGAACGTACTTCCAGCGTAATACGCGATCTGAGCTGCAATCCTAGATTTACTCCAAAACCCTGCTTCTACAGCTTTGCTACGCCGTGTCACACGCCCAAGACCCAGCCCACGGCATTCATGGTCGTCGGCAGGGAGAAGACCCCAACCCCAAGGGACATCGTGCTCAGGAGAAACCTGGCATCCCGCGAAGAACAGGGCCGATTGTGCGGGAGGTTCTCAGGGTAGCTTTGGGGATCCTGCAGGAGAAGGATGGATTGCAATTTCAAGAATATGCACGAATCATGCTGCGCAAAAGGCAGACATCGCCTTGGGATCGAAGCAATACAAGTTGGTGCAGGATTCCGGGTTCAGAGTTGTAGGGCTTCGGAACAACAACACCTTTGTTTACTCATTGCTGTTGCTGCTGCTATGTTAGCATTGGTGGTGGTGGCGTCGTCGCCGCTGCCGCCGCCGCCGCCGCCGCTGCTGCTGCTGCTGTCATTCGTGGCGGTTGCGGTTGTGGTTGTGGCTGGGGCTGCGGTTGCGGTCGCCTCTGTGGTTATGGTGGCAGTGGCAGCGATGGTTGTGGCTTGCTGCTGTCGATTTTTTGGTCGTGTTGTCGATAGTCTCCAGGAACAATGCACGTGATGTTGTTGCTAACAGTAATGAGAAGCACGTCGTCACCAGTAAGATTTAAGCCTTGAAGCAACAAAAACAATAGGAAGACCAGTCCATGGCCCTAGCATACGCAGCTCCCAGAACTCTGCCGACCCAGGAACACGGCGTTGCTCACCATGCTTAGCCCCTCCTCCTTTGCTCCCCCATTCTGCGCCAAGGGGTCCCTGGCCAGCTGAATTTCTAACAGCAGCAATTGCGCTCATACCCCTGACATGGTGTTCTGGTCAACCATCCTTGCTACTGTTCAGGGCCCCAAGATGAGCAAAGAGGAACACGGTCCAACTTGCATATACTCCGCGGGCAAGGCCGCGCAAAAGGGTCTTTAGCCGCCTATTTGGCTGTGCAAGGGGAGCACAAAGTCAACATCCAAGATTGACACGCTTCATGCCCGAAATGCTCAGCATGCGCTAGCATTATGGCGGCTTACTAGCCTTTCCCACTGCATGGGTTGACGGTCGTTGGCAGGCAGCACAACATGCTAGTTCTTGTAGTCGGGTCATCCTAGGTAAGCCAGCCTCACAATGAATGCTACAACCACTGTGGAAATGGATGCGTCAGGATACATCTGTACAACCAAATGCCGGGCATCTACATCTACTCAAAAACAATGTCTGACATATTGCATGGCCTGCTATACCACATCCTGTTCTGCAAGGCCGTCGCCAACACATGTTCGCGCAATTTTGGACTTGGCGCCTTTTTTCTAGCCACAGCGGACGTACGTTCTGATTTGTCCTGCCTTCATTTCTGGGGATGCCCGATCAGGAAAAAAAAGTCTCCCAGGGGTACCTTTTTTGGGGGTCCCCAGGTGTACCTTTAAAGGGAGTACAGGGGATATATTAAAAAGGGTTCTGGTTTGGGTTTCCCAAAATTAGGGGTACCATTTTGGGGGCCCCAGAGGAGGATGATATTATAATGGGTCTTTTTTGGGCTTCCCCCATGTAGGGAATCCACCAACTGGTGTTGCGCAACATGACAGTGCTAGAAATTCTGAATGTGGAGCCGCCCGAGCCCCTGAACCCAAATGGGAATTTGGTGATAGGGGTCCAAGTTGTATGGAACCCAAAGCACTGTAATCAATAATCCTTATTCTCAGGACCCTGAGAAAAGGAAACCCTCATTTTTGCCAACCCTATGCATGAACAGTGGGTGAACTCTGGCCACGCCGCCTCGCGGGCTCTTGCGACAGCAGCGGCATGGCTCTTAGAGGGCGGGGACCGCCACTTGGCCAAGGTTGCTGGAGCCACGGCTTGCACTTTTCATGATGGGGCTTGTATCAAGTCGTTTGGGGATTTCCCAAATTGGCGGTACCTTTTTTTGGGGTGTCCCTACGCGAAGGATTGTAGTACTTTGGGCTCTACATTGGGGTCCCCTTATTTAGGGGAACTACACATTATGTAAGAAGATCATATGGGAGTTGTTGCTTCTGTCGGTTGCTAGAGAGACCGAGGCCTTGTGCACTGTCTCGTGGTTCAGCAATCGGAAGCAGTTAAGGAGATTTAGGGATTTAGTGCTTAAGGTTCCTGATTTATAGTCCTGCTTAAGTAGATAGAATATGGGGTCTATCTCTTATTGTAATATACTCAAAGCCCTATTCTATCTAGTTAAGGGGGACTTTAGGGTTCTTGAAGCAGTTGAGGATGGTTTAGGGTTTTAGTTGCAATTGGGAAAACTGTACTCAAAACCCCTATGTCAATGTTCCCGCCCTCGATGACGATTCAAAGGGTTCGTCCTGGGGTCTTTCTTCTGGCATTCAGCACAAGCACGAAAATCCCTGACAGACACCATGAACTGCTCTGTAAGAATAACAAAGATCTCGACAAGGAGAAGTATGTTGATGTATGCAATAGGAACACTACGAACTAGTGATCAAGATGCCTGTCGCAATGCTGACCCTGCGGAGTTTGAAGGATCGTGGAAAATCAGAAAGGCTTGAAAGCCTGCAAGAATCGCCTCACTCCGGAGCCCTAAACTGGGTGCCTAGACCATCCTAGACCGATCTCGCCCACACGTCCTTGTCGAAACACCGGAAAGCGGCACGACACACCTGCGGTATTTGGGGCGCTGGGGAACTCTTGTGCTTTGGAGGAGTAAGGGATTGGAGCTTTGCATTCAGGATTTTAGTGTTAATGAAGTTTCGGGTCGAGGGCTCTGAACCTCGTTTAGGGTTCAGGGTTTAGGGTCTAGGGCTTAGGGTTTGGAGGGTTGTAGAGACAGTTTCAATAATGCTGAATACCTAAACTGGTAGCAAGAGTCCTTCTCGCTGACGATGCCGTTTTCCAGAAGCCCGAGGCAAACGTAGGATTTACCGAATCCCACTACAACCCCGGCTAAATCCTTTACCCTAGGCACAAGTCCTCAAAAACAAGAATTGCAAGCAAAAATCCCGAGACCCAACATCCTGTAACCTTTCGAACCCTTAAATCCTACACATAAATACATTTATATATATATATCCCAATACATACTATCGTAACTTCCATTTTCTTCTCCATTACTCCCAAGAAGACCCTAAACTCTAAACACTAAACCCTAAACCACAAACTCTCAACTCTCAACCCTAAACACTAAACCCGAAACCATAAACTCTAAACCCGAAACCCTAAACCGCCAGTCGCGAGCCAAGGCACTGCTTCGGTGGAGTGCCGGGACCGATCAAAGGTGGCAGCTATGAACCTAGGACCAGGAGTTTAGGGTGTAGGGTTTAGAGTTTGGGGTTTTGTGGTTAGAGTTTAGAGTTTAAGGTTTAGAGCTTAGGGTCTAGGGTTGAGGGCCTAGGGCTTTTAGGCCAGGGTTTAGGGTTTAGGGCTTTTAGTTTAGTGTCTAGGGTTTAAGGCTGCAGGACTGTGGAAGTCTGGGCCTGAAAAGCTGGAAGAATGGAAAAGAAAATGGAAGCTACTATTTGGGGTTCAGGGCTTAGGGATATTTAGGGTTTAGGGTTTAGGCATTAGGGTTTAGGGTTTACCCAAATAATGGAGAGTCCAAAGGAAAAACAAATGGAGAATGAAATGGAAATTGGCTTACTGTCGGGGCTATATTTGGGCAGATGGGCCACGTGTCTTTTTGGGGGGAACCTTTTGACCGATCGCAGGAATGCCGGTCCGCCGGCTTGCAAGGGCCATGGTCCGTACCCTACACGAATGCAGACCTGTGATTGATAAACCCCTCCCCTTGATGGGGATTATAATGGGGATCCCAATATGACCCATAGTCTAGACTCTTAGTTTCCCCCTTAATATCCCCTATAGTAGTCTCCTATATAATCCCCTATAGAACCCTTTTTAAGGAGTTTAGACAGTGGCTCATATGAAGGCCTTTAAAAGGAAGAGGTCTATAAATCACGGGTCGACGATGATTCTTTAAGCGGGCGCCTGGCGTCGGGGAGCCGCCCTAAGCTTGGCTAGGCACGTGGTTTAGGGTTTAGGGTTTAGGGTGCGGTCGTTGAAGGAGTCGAGGTTGTGGTACATGATGACGGCATTGGAGAAGTAGTCGGTGAAGAAGTGGTAGTAGATCTTGTGGAGCACGTAGTCGTCGTTGTGAAAACTACAAAGTGCAGGTTAAAGGTGAATAGATGAGTGCTCATACCGATGACCCCACCCGCTAATGAAATTGAGGTCCCTAAAGCCCTAAATCTTCCGATTGTTCTTAGCGGGGGGGGATAAATGGAAGCTGGCAGATGAGATGGAAAGTAAAATAGAAACTGCAATGATACGGTGCTTTTGGGTAGGAATGAATAATCGCTTTCCCTTGTTACAGAACTTTTGGGTTTAGCAGCCTGGGTAACTGTAGTACTGCAGAATTAAGTGGAACATGAAATAGAATGTTGGGTTTGTGTGGGGCTTACATTGCAAGGAACGAGTACTCTGTTCCCAAAATTGATTTTCCAAAAAGAAGAAGAGATTAAGGGTCAAAGGTTAAGAGTTCGGCTGTTTGCGTGTTCGGGTGTTAAGGTCTAGATTCAAGGTTTAGGGTTCCAGGGCTTTGGCCGCAAGACTTCAGCCGCGTAGTGTCTCCTGGAGGCTATGCGGAAGTCGAGTGGGCTGCACAAAAAAAGCATTGAAACGCCTTCCTCTGCTAGTTTTCTTCAAGCTGGCTTGGCCACTTGTTGAGGGTTGAATGAACAGCAACACTCTGAACTTTAAACTCTACTATGACAAAAGTAACGGCAATAAAACATGTTTCCTGGTGCTCATTTCTGCCCGCGGCTTTGTGAGAAGACCAGTGTTTCACTGCTACTATGACGGGGAACATCCCAAACTATTACTCTTACCATTACGATTATGACTGCCATTACTGTTTGCTGTTGCTCAAACTAGCACTATCACTATTACGCTTCCTTTTGCCATTGCTATTGCCAATAACCTGACTATTACTATCAAAACTATTAGCAACCCCAAGGAACATAAAGCCAGGAACCACTTAGCCTTCCTGACATAACTCCATACAAAACACTTACAGGAAACTCACAAACTTTCTTCTAACCCCTACACCTATTGTCCCT